ACCAAACCATCCACCAGATTTTCCAAACATTCAACACAGAAAGACCAACGTTAAACATTTTGTAAATATCAAACGCAAACAGCTAGGAAACCCAATTTAAACCACTAAACAATAATAATAACAACTACATGCAACTTTAATGTCGCACAAACAGTCCATAACGCGCCAACAATAGAATAAAAAATTAAACTGCAGTACCAAGGTCAATCACCAGGGGCTCAAAGTCAACCTACACAATCTCCAAGGCCCCATCCATCAATCTGCCAAATATCATACAGTTCCTTTTCACCGATCTTCAGATATCAGACCAAAACATGAAACGGACCAAAAACAATACCCCCATTACATGGAGGGTAAAAAGGGGTACAGAAAGAGCTAGAGTACTGGAGGTTTTTTGGTGGATGGGAGGGGCACATGACATGGAGGAAAGAAAAACATGATGTGATCAAATTAGCATCAGATGCCTCAGGCTTCAAGTGGGGAGGATCGGTAACAACAGGTGAAGGGGAGGTACAGATGGGTGATTACTGTCAGGGCAATGAGACAGAGGAGCACATCTCCATTAAGGAAACAGAAGCGCTCACAAAAGTGCTTATGGCTATGGAGGAGCACGTTAGGGACAAAAGGGTAGAGGCTTGGGTAGACAACAAAAACCTGATATCTGCTTGGGAGAACCAGGGTAGTAGAAGTTTGGCTCTAACAAGGGCGGTAGTTAGGTTGTGGGAGATGGCGATCAACATTAACATAAATCTCATGTTAACCTATGTGCCGTCAAAAGACAAAGTGTTTGCAAGAAAACACAATGAGTTGGGAGGACAGCAAGGGTTCGATGTAGATTTGATGGCTCTACCATCTAATGTACAAACAGCGAGAAACGGGCAGACACTCAAGTTCTTTAGTCCCTGGCCAGTTCCGGGAGCGCAAGGGGCCAATGTATTCGCGAAAACTTTGAAAGGGTGTAACGCGTATGTCTTTCCGCCTTTCTCAATGATAGAGTCAGTTGTCAATTTCTTAACTGAAGAGAAAGCGAGAGAGACGATTGTTGTTCCTGATTTCAACCCCAGGAAATACTGGTGGCCAATATTGTGGGACAAGGCGTCCAGGGCTCTCAAGGTGGCACAAGCAGAGCCGTCACACAGGGCGACGTGGAGAACACGTTCGACAAAGTGGGACCTATGGGCGTTTCAGCTCCTCCCGTAGCTTACAGTGGGGTGCCGAGATTATGGATGTCTCCTAGGGCGTGTTTGGCATGTCGATATCCAAACGACTTTGATTTTAATTACTGTCAGAAGTGTGGGATGCCAAGCACGCCAGTTAACACAGTGACAGTAAGGGGAAGAAACGTAGACCAAGAAAGGATAGACAAAAGATATGAGGAGATAATGAATGTTACCTCATCCTCGGCGCATGCCAAGCAAAAGAGAGCTCTGGAAGCGCAGCTAGGAGAATTTTTAGGTGCGCTCCAGCCAGCAAAGACGTTAGATTCGGCGACCCCAAAAGACATCGTAAGATTTGTTAATTTGGAAAGATGATGATGGGAAGACGAGGGTGCACGTTGGTAATTGTGATCAGTCCAACAGTAGCTGTTTGTGTCCCTATAGACTTGCTTTCAAGACTGTAGATTCCTACGTAGGTAATTTGAGGTCAATTTTTAGTAAGCACGGAAGGGGCGGTGAGTGGGATGAGCGTTTAGGTCTAGGTAATCCCGCAGCGAGTCCCATAGTCAAGGAATATTTGAAAGCTGTGACAGGGGAGCAGTTACAACAAGGCATAACCCCACAGCAGGCAAAACCAGTGTTCTTACCGAAAATCATCAAGGTGTGCCAATATATCGTGCAGCAGATTGAGAGAGAGAAGTTCCCCATAAAACTTTTCATAAGGGCTAGAGATCAGGCTATTTTCAAAGCCGTTTTCTTTGCGGGAGACAGGGTAGGAGAGCCATAAGGGGTAGGACTAATCAGGTGTATAGGCTCGCGTCAGGAGCCCTTTTGTTTAATCATGTGTGGGAAAAAACGTTGAGGGACGGCAGACAGAATGTGTTCGCGTTTAGAAAAAAACAGGGGGATACGGCTTCATGCCCAGTAGAAGCTATAGGTTTTATGTTGACATGGCTGAGTACTTATCTGTAAACTTGAGCGGTGGTTTGCTGTTTAGGGCCACGTCAAAGCAAGGTCAGGTGCTAGAGAACCAACCCACTACTTCAGCGGTCGACGAGTCTTTTAAAAGATACCTAGAGAAGTGCGGTATCTACGAGGAGGAAAGATTGCATGGCTCCCGAGCGGGATGTGCTATTTCCCTTCATATGACAGGGGCTAGTGAAGAAGATGTAATGTCTCATGTGGGGTGGGGTACTAAAAGAGAGCATCACATTATATGAAAATAGCTAAAGTCATGAAGCCAGCTAGGTGGACCAGCATCAAAGTTGGCCACAGAACAGATGTCAAAAGCAGTACAGGAGTACATGGCACAAGATAACTTGGTAGGATTACAGCCCGCGTTCTAATAGGCAAAACAAATAAGGACGGGAAGAAGAAAAACGTGAAAGGTGTTAGTAAGAAACAGATCTAGATAAAGAAAGGGGAAAGAAAATGAAGTACGAAAGATAAGTGATGTAGCTTGAACACTGGTGTCATAATATGTTGGAGCTTATTATGGGAATGTGTTACGAATAAAGAGGAACAGAAGAGTAACGTCTTGTCTTTGTTTTAATTCATTGAAAGCTTTGTAAAAAGAGAAAACAAGACCAGGGAACAAGGGATAAGTAAGGGGATGAGAGAGGGAAGATGAAAGAGGGAGGAGACAGGAAAAGAAAGGGCATGGAGAATGTAAAAGGACGACAATAAGAATGTGGGGCGCGACGAAGGCGCGGACCCCATAACTCATAGGGATGATCCAATGAGTGCGCAGTGGGAAAAGTAACCTGGATCATCTGGATGGATGTAAGAAATAAAGTTTCCCGTGGAAAACCCTCCCCTTATTCCACCTCTCTTCTGTCCTGTTCCCTCTCTTACTTCTGTCAGCCATCGTCGCGCTCCTTCGATATGTGTTGGAAGAATCCTCTGTGTGCACATGGGGTGATCTGTCTCTCTGTACTTATATGGTGTCCACAGGTGTACTCATTAGTCTGATCCAATCAGCGCGCAGCGAGAATAGGTTACTATCGCAGTTCTGTGCATGTGCAGAGCGATGCATTGTGGTCTTGGTCAAAGTTCAAGCTTTATAAGAATTAAGAACTCCAAACTACAAGGAAAAAGGAAGGACTGAAGTACAAATAAGAACATTTGACTCTGACCTGAGATGGTCCGAGTGTACGTGACTTATGTAAATGAGGTCAGCACGTGACAGCCTCTCCAGCCAATCAGCGGGCGGTTCGTGCAGCAGCCACCACCCCCTGGCGAAGGCGGGTCCGGTCAGCCACGGGTCGAAAAACATCGTCTTGTCTCCCAGCTTCAGCTCCATACACGCATGCGCGAAAAACGTCAACTACAAATAGAAATACACATCCTTACATGATGCAGCTAACCTAGTATACTCTGTTAGGCCGCACTAAGTCATTCTATGGAGGGCCGAAAAAAAGCATGTCATCTAGATTTGAAATATACAAATGTTAGGACACAATCTGAAGTCTGAAGACAACAAGGGATTTTTTTTTACCTGCACTTCTCCGAGTCGGATGGTCTGCGGGCGCCTTGCGTCGTTGTCCCACGGCTTAGGCGGAATCAGCTCCACCAAGGCTAATCCCCCATCTTCGTCTAACTCTGGAACTGAATGAACATGTTATAGTGAGAATAATACAATTGTTTGAATCAAGAAATCCGTTCAGATGTACATGTACATACTGATGAATACGATGACCTTTTGCGTTAAACTCGGATGTCTAAATCCCATTTTAAGTACCGATTATATATTCATAACCTTCCCCCGACCACCAACAATGATTGGTTGAAGGCGATTCATATCAATATCGAATTTGAGTCAAATCTGACCCCCGAACACGCCCCGTGGACTGCTGACCTACTCCAGAACACTAACAACTACCAGTCAACCATGGTCGAACCTCCCGCCTGCACTTCAATGTTTTATACATTTTGAAACAATCGACTAGGCGAGCTAACAGAACGATCCCGATCTACTCCTAACCATAGTTGGGGGGAGTTTATAGGCAGTGCCTCGGAGGCCATATTCGGCTGTATACGTGTGACAGGAGCTTTTAAAACCGGTACCGTTTCATGATGGCAACGGAAATTAGCCGCAACGCCTCTAGATGTGGCGTGACCTGGTATCCAGTCTATTGCGGTTGGGGCGGATTTTCTTCGGGGCTGCTGAAACTCTTTCCCGCCCGTCTCAGCTAAGTTCCCCGGTAGGTTTTTCACGACGGGAGATTGATTAGTGGAGATAATCAACGCCCGGCGTGCCATATCCTATCACAGGCGTATCTCCTACCGGGCGGTCTGTTGAGCTGGACGGGGGAAAACTATTGGGTCGCCGAAGACAGCCTGCCCGAACCACGACAGACTTGACACCAGGCTAAATGTGGTGGGCCGTACCTAACTTGTCCTGTCTGAAGCTGTCCGGGGGGTTGACATACTTCATGCTGGAGGGGTCCAGCTTCCAGCCGTGCTTGGTGCATCGCAGAATACTGAAACAAAATTATCGTTCAGTTACATCGAGATACGCAAGAACTTGATACTCAAGCAACTGACATGGGTACATTTATCAAATACCAACTGGTTTAAGTAGCATACAATTTACATATCAATTCATAGTTTTTGGGTGGATATCCGTTCAACTTCAGATTTTGTTTAGTACTGACGAAAAGTAGTGGATGCTACTTGATGAAACGAATGAGAGTTTTCTAAAGTTATCCAATTGCGTAACAACTTCAATTAGTGCAGTTAGTAAAGTACACGCTAGCAACTACAAACCTTCCGTGGATACTTTCTTCAAGTTGATATATACTGAGCTGACATTTAGCTGAACTGTCTGTCATCTTCCTTCAGGCAAGGTGAAAATGACTGGTTATACTTCGCACTGCAGCTAGGTGTCGCTGCTGCACTGTGAAGAATATGACCTCATACAAACGCGACGCGTAAGGTTTGAAATCCGGCCCGTTCAATTTTATAGTATGGACAGATACTCTTGACCGTTTGAAACCATTCATAGTCTTTAAAGTTAACGGGGCACGTTTAGTTCGAATGGCAGGAAGACTTTCCTTATGCTGGCAATCCGTATTTCTTACCTCATTTTACTCAATTTGTTCAGCCGTGGCTCCTTTATCAAACATGGCCTATCCAATATAATAGTTTTACCTGATAACCAGGGCCTAGGCTATCATTATCAGTTTTTCAAGTTCACGGGCCACGTTTGGTTCAATTACAGAACGTCTTTTAGATTTCAAACTAGTAAACACGCCCTGCATGCTCTCTCCGGTAGATGTCGCTCTTATAGCTTATTTTCAAAATTGTTTGTTTTTGTTGTCTTTAAGTTAAAGCAAAAGCCCCCAATCGACAGGTAACTGAATGTATATATAGTCTGTATACATCCACGTCGCAAAATCCGTTCAGATGTACTAGATAAAAAAAGAGAAACGAATGAATAAACACGAATCGGATGCTAGATTTCTTCTACCCAGAAATCTGTCGCTAAAGCGGCTGCTAGAATGGGCTGCTAAAGCTACGGTCACAACCCGCCGTACGTGCCTCCGCGTGCTGTCTACGTGCAAAAACGTGGGCAAACGTAGGGCATCCGTGCGTGGTGAGTACCACCTCCGTACGGAATCCTACGGATTTGGAACCACGCAGACACGCCGTAGAACTTTAAGTGCATGTAAAACTTTTTCTACGTGCGGTCTGCGGATTCACCACCCGTGCGTGCGAGTACGATCGACGCGCGTGTCCCGTACGTGCGGAAGAAGCACGTGTGAGTACGGCTTCCTTACGGTAAAGTTGCAATCGCACAGAGATCGTACGTTGTAATCACTTGCGCAACGTACGATGCACGCAACCGCTCACGGTCAGACTTGGCGTGCAGACTAGACCACACTCTTACACTCTGCGCAACCCTGCGAGTGACGTGCGACTGACGTGCGTAGACGCCACTCCTTCCCCACGTTTTCAGAAAAACGTAGCAGACGTTTCCTCCCAAAAAAACGTACGGACAAAAAGCACGTACGGCGGGTTGTGACCGTAGCATAAACGGGCTGCTAACTTCTGGTTGGTGTATATATGGTATAATTTCTTTCTTACCTACAGGTGGAATCTTCCACATCTCTCACAAACGTGCCGCCTTGATGCTTGCAGATGTTGCGACAAGCCTTGTACGGTTCTTTGGTGTTCGCTGGATCCTGGGAGGAATGCAGTATTCTGGTGTTAAGTTAAAGAAAGCAAGCATTCTTGTCAAGTCATTAGATGGGTGTGGCAGACAAAACTAACATACAATTTGGATATCAGCCCGAGGCTAGTGTTACCACACAAGTAAACGACGTCAAGCAGCCTTCTACAGACCATGGTTGGGAGTCAGTCGTGAGCGAGGTCTTCTGTGGTTGGCAGTAGTTTCTGGAGGTTGGCTAGTGATCGTCTGCGCCGACCGAATGTTTCAAGATGGTATTTAAAACAAGAAATGGTTGTGAGACCGTTAGATGTTCTGTGCAGACTATAGCTAGTAAGTGTTGTGAAGCGGTAGGGAACTAATTGGGAGGAAGTCAGCCGTGGTCGTGGCATAGTTCGGAGTCAAACGGGACATCAGTTGTTTCCCCCGCACATTACCCTATGGATATGGCCTACGTGGGATTTGAACCCAAAAACCTTTAGATTCTACAACACAACATGTTCTAATACGAATACAAACCTTGTAAATTATAAAGTTGCCTCTTTCCTTACAGATCAGGTTAACCCCTGGGACCAAGGCAGTGGTTTCTCCGGCAGTTAACCGTAACACTTCCACGCTCCTCTGCTCCATCTTCGCCCTGCAAAGTTATACAAGAGGCAATCCGTTTTAATGTTTCTTTTCTAGAACTTGTAAACCATAACTACTACTTGCCACAATGTAGCAACTCAACGCGAGTAGGGAGAAGGGAGTAGAGATAGCAATGGCGTGGTATTATAATCTATTCTTAGTGGAGGAGTTTTAGGTTTTAATCAATCAATCAATCAATCAACCAATCAATCGACTTTATCACACAACAATTGTAGTGAGTACGATGTATGGCGGTCTACCATTTCAAACACCTATTTCTGAACCAGTATGTTCCCTGCTATGGCGAATTGGTAGAGCACCACATACAGTAACAAGAGGGTCTGCATGCCTTTTTCCGTTAAGCGTTAAGGGCTACTTTAATTCACCGTTAATCGTTGCCGGCTCGCTCTTATTCCACGTTAAGCGTTATTAGTATATTTACCGTGAAGCATTGGTAGTCATTTTATTTCTACGAAGAGCGTTATTTGTCATCCTAAATTCAGTGTTAAGCGTTAGTGAATAATTCTTCGTTACGCCTAAACCCTGAAGGCTTCGTAGTCAAACGTCAGATAGCTCTCGGAACTCGAACGTCCGCTTGTGGCTTCAGTATTCAAGCCAGACACGTACCCCATGACTACCATAGAACAGCCCCACCCGTTCCCAGAACCTGAACCAGATCTCTGGGGTAAAATACGATGTGCTTGTTTTGTACCGTAGGCTGCCGCTGTTGCATGGTTACAGCTCCATTGTATTCATGGGCGTTACCCGTAAATAAGAGGTGACTCACGTAGCTTGTTTTGGGGGCTATTTCAAATGCTTAGAATTTGAAATGACGACGAAAATGTGTTCAGAAATGACAGTAAATGTCCATATCAGACAGCTGTCCTCATTCTGAGTTTTTGTTTTGATTTGCCGCCCTGAAATAGAATTTGATACTTTTAATGTCATGTTTTAAGGTAATGTCGGCGACAATAGTAATATTGATTAAATAGTAATATCATAGAGTGCATCACGATTAATGATCTATCATTTCGAATTAGATATGATTGAATAGTAATATCACAGAGTGCATCACGATTAACAATTTTTCATTTTGAATTAGATATGATTCGTTTCAGAAATATAATGAGGAGTCACAAGCTCAAAATGCTGTCTCTCCTGTTGCTGTTTGCGACGGCTGGGAACACAGGGAACACCAGTGTGAAGTACCTTTAATTAATGCGTGCTTCATAAAGTATACTTAAATTTGTCAGTGATCACTTTTTCTCACAAATTCAGATAACAAATCTAGTGAAGCTCGAATAAAAATGGCTGTCAATTTACCGTTAACCGTTGCCGACCGTCCTGAATTTACCGTTAACCGTTGCCGACCATCCTGAATTTACCGTTAACCGTTGCCGACCATCCTGAATTTACCGTTAAGCGTTGCCGGCCCTGCTGAATTTACCGTTAACCGTTGCCGGCCCTACTGAATTTACCGTTAACCGTTGCCAGGACCTCCCCATGCAGACCCTTTAACAAGTCCAACATATCCATTCAGTCTGTTTACAGTCTACATATATACCTCTAACAAAACTTCGGCGAAAAGAATGACTGAATCACTTTGACTGTGGTACTATAAAGATGTTAGCAAATGAAACTAAAAACAACAAGAATTCTGAGACCTGGTATATCTATGAAATATTTCGAGCTTTTGTGAATTTTTTTTATTTGATTTAGCATTAAGGAACAAGAGTTCGTGGGACACATGCATTTGTCAGATATAAATATGCTCCCGCTACTTTTTAGTTCTCATTGTTTACAATCGTCATCGTGTCGTACACGCAGTTCTTTGGCTCTTTACTCATGGTATAAAGAACAGTCTTTCTTCTCTTGATTCTGTCATTTTCAACAGCTAGGTCTGGATACAACTGTATCCCTTCTCTCCACCTTTTCTACACCACATTCGGGTTCTTGGCCTGAATGTCTAGTATCCCTGGTGGTCTCACAAAATGACAAATGCTGACTGGCCACCATTGCTTAATCTCCAAGCAGATCCCTTTCAGTTGCAAGGCAGTATTCATTAGCCAGAGGAGTTTGCACGACCACCTAAGGTGGATAATGGACACTCCTCTGGCCAAAGGATACTTCCTTGTCACTGTATGATCTGCTTGCAGATTACCATCATTGTTTTCAAGTTGTCAGCCTAGCTGTGCTAACTGGATACTAAGTGGCTTTTGATGAATGCTTGCTTTTCGATACTTTGACACTTTGACTTCTCACTTAGCACTTTGACATTTCTGGGACAAAGGCGTACTCTACTACTCCCACCGGGACTGCACGTTTGCCCGCCAGGCATCAAGTCAACGGCCTACATAATCCCACAAGGCCACCTCAAGCGTACATCCCAAACAAAACATGTGGTATACAAAACACTAGAGTTCGGAGGGCTCATGCCTTCGACAGTGTGATATTGTTTTGGTGGGTGTTGTGTGTATGTATAGTGTAGGCTTTTTGAAGATGATTATCGTAGTTATAGTGGTCAGAGAGTCTTTTTGTGAACGAAGCAACATTTACCGAGCCTGTACCATGACTTTCTACGGAAATACGGAATGTAGAATTCGTCATTTGGTACAGGGGTGCCTTGAGCATATGCTCAAAAAATGACATTTGCAGCTTTGGCATACATCACTTGAAAATGGTGTGAAGCAGGTATTTTCTGCTATTTTCAGACAAAAATGTACATTTTTGGCTCCTGTGACCTAATATTACAACCAAATGATCTACAATTTGGTAAAGGAGTGCCTTAGACGTATGCCCAAAGAACTATACTCACATTTCTGGCAAAAACAACTTCGAATCTGTGTAAAATAAGTTTTTCTGCTCTTTTCAGCTTTTATGCCCTTGTATTAAAACCAAACGACCTGAAATTTGTTATAGATGTGTCTTAGGCAAATGCCAAATGAACTTAAGACATAGTTTGGCATACACCACTATAAAATTGTGTAAAATGGGTCTGTTTTGCTATGCCCAAAGAACAGTGCTAGCAATGCTGTAAGGTAGCAGCACACAGTATTAATGGGCGGGTATAGAAAGTAGTACAGCGAATATTCTTGAAGGCTGGGTAGATAGCCTGATAAGAGCGTCAGCCAGACGTAAATTGCGCTGTGTGGTGTAGGAATGTATCGGGTTTGAGACTGTATGATTTGAATTGTGAAGGTTTTGCAGTTCGTGTTTTGAACCCCGTATACATGTATGTGTTTTCCGTAAGAGACAGAAATTTTTAAAAGACCACAAATGACAAGACTGGGCAACTTTACGCGTAAAAAGTAACTCATTTAACATTAGATCTAATGTTTGACAGAAGTTGATTATTTGAATAGATACTTGATAAACAAAAAGACGGACGAAGGTAAACATTCACTCGAATAGTGAGGGCGTACGTAGCCACATAACCAAGTTAGACATATTAATGGTTTCCTGCCGTTTAGTTGAAGACTGAATTAGAAAAACGTGCCAAATGCACAACTGATGTAACTATGATACCCCGTCTAACCAAGGACGTTCTATCTAGTCTAACAATCCTTGAGACCCGTAGGGGTAGTGAGCCAAATTGACATCGGTTTAGGTAAGGTTCTTTAGCACAATATTACCTCGAAGTCATCATGGCGCTACAACTGAGAAGAGTAATGTTTGTGCAGGGTAAAGTCATCTGGTATAATGTATGTGGCAACGCCGTGACATTATGTCTACCTGCCCCACTCCCACAGAAATGTGTTGATTTCAACATTCCCAGGGATTTGATCAGCTGATGTACATCTCACCAAAGTAGCATGTATAAGTAGTACTTATTTGTCTACAATATATGAGGGAATACTTAGCCAATCCATGCTTGTGATCAGAAAATATACACCTGCAAAGCTGTCTAAAATTTGGGTAGCCATTTTGTTCAAGCTAGGCCACTTTCAATGAATGAACAAATATTGTAGACTATAACTAATATTTCAAAAATTACTATGACCCAATAATACTTATATGTCCCTGTCACACAGGGGGATATGAAGTTCATGCATACTTTGAATAAAGAAATATTGACTTTAAAAGTTGACCAAAATAATGGCAGTCATATCGGTCACACCCAGCAACTTTCCAAAATTAACCGAAAATACAAAAGATGTCTGATTTTTTAAAAAGTACTATGACTCAATAGTACTTATATGTCCCTGACACCTGATGGAATGTCAAGTCAATTTGTGCTTTTAATGAAGAAATATGGACTTCTGAAGTTGACCAAAATAATGGCAGCCATATTAGTCACACCCGGCAACTTTCCAAAATTGGCAGGAAATAGAAAAACACATCTGATTTCTTAAAAAGTACTATAAATCAAATGTACTTATATGCCCCCATCATAAAAGGGAATGTTAAGTTCAGGCATACTTTTAATGAAGAAATATAGACTTTGAAAGTTGACCAAAATAATGGCAGCCATATTGGTCACACCCAGCAACTTTCAAAAATTGGCCGGAAATCCCAAACATATCTGATCTTTGAAAAAGTACTATGAGCCAAGTACTTATATGTCTCTAATCGATGAGTCAATGTCAAAACAATGCATGCTTTCGAGGAAGAAATATAGACTTTAAAAGTTGACCAAAATAATGGCGGCCATATTGTTCACACCCAGTTCCATTCAAAGACTGGCCGGAATTAGAAAATCACTTTTGATTTTTCTAAAAGTACTATGAATAAATAGTACTTAAATGTCCCTGTAATACAGGGGGATATCAGGGTGCATGCATATTTTTGTTGACGAAATATAGACTTATAGACCTCCAAAATCTTAATGGTATACAACAAAAGGTTATCAAAAATTGTTAAATTTTAGGAAAGTCACCATGTTTGGTGGTTCTATGGCAAGCCGTTCAGACGCTATCTGACATCAGAGTTGGCGCGGGCACTTTTTAACCCCCCAGTCTAGATAGGAGTAAAGATTGTTTACAGAATTTTAGGTGGACGGCTTC